AAAATTAAGGAAGTGGTTCAAGGACAGAAAGACAAAAAAAAGAACAAACACAGAGTAGACAATGTTTAGAGATCACCTTTATCTCTTTTTCTATAGACTAAAACATTTGTCCCCAAAGACTGGACTAGTAAATATAGTGAAGTAAATTATCTTAATAATATTCACTACAGTAGATCTCAGTGAACCTGACCTGTGCGACATCCCTGCCCTCTACAGTCAGGGCTGTGTCCTCCCTCCTCCCTCCTCACCCTCACCCTCACCTCCTCTACTCTCATCTGTGCTGCAGGCGTTTGTCTGTCTACAGATTATTTTTTCCATGTTGTTTTTCCCTCCCTCCTCTTAATCCAGCCTGCGGCTTTTTCATCTAAAGAGCAAACCCATTTGCCAAGATCACACACACACACACACACAGAGTGAGGGAGATTAACACATATCAGAACAACCCAGAAGTGCACTCTGTCATTTCACTGAAGGAAAGCATATTTTTGGAGCAGGATTAAAATAAGTGAAACGAGATAATGATGAGTAAAATCATTTTTTTCCTTTCCTATTTATTTTTGGCTTCCGATTTTTACACTTCTTTAACAAACACAGACGGGAAAATTATTCAGCTAAGCCTTTTATGGCAGGCTTTATGTAAACACTTATGTCATCACATCACCGCTGTGTAATTAATTTGATTGTAATAACTTTAACCTGAGTACAGTGTATTGAAGATAAAACAGCAGAGGCCTCTGGCGGCCATGATAACCTACAGTGCCATGTGTCATCAATGACACTAAAGTCGTGAAACGCAAACTCTCTTAAATACGTGCAGCGGATCAGTGGCTCAGCCAGCGGTTCACCAGCTGTACTGTACAAGTCTCCGTGGACGCTAACAATCGTAATCTAAAACATAAAGAGATGCTTCTTAGATCATAAACAGAACATCTGGGATTTCTGCTCTGGGATTAACGTCCACTCCTGTGGAGCAGAGACAGACCAGCATTTATTAATTTTAAAGGACAGATTACTTTCAGCACTATGAGTCAGACAGTGTTTGTCTTTTACTCCCCACAGGGATGTTGTATTAGATAAAGTCTCAAACTGCTGTTGTGTGATAGACCTGGTCTATAGGGTGATATAAAAAACATTCAAATGTCCTAATGTCCCACTCAGTCTTTGCAGTACAATTAAAAGTCTCTCTTGGTTCAGTCTTTATTTCTGTCATTATTCTCCCGTCTTGTCTTTTCTCCCGTCCACCAGTCTGTCTCTCCTCTGTTCAGTGTCTCTTCCACACAGGTTTAATAACTGATCTTTTGTCTTCAACCCATCTGTGGTGTGCTGGTTTACAGCTCCACCAGTATTTGTGTTACACCTGGTCCATGGCTACACATATGGTCTCAGGGACTAGATTTAGGCTTCAGTCATTTTGAGTTGGTTTGAATCTCAGTACTGACAGGTTGGTTTTGGTCAGGCAGTGGCATAGTGGTAGGAGGAGGTGTGTTAATCCAGCACCGAAACATTCTGCTCCTAAAAACACCCAGTTCCTATCATGAATAAATTAAATGCAGATTAAATATTTGTGTGTACGTGTGTCTGTAATTGTAGAGCCTTAGATTTAAAAAACACATATTTGATTTGAAAACTATCATGCAGCTTTGGAGACTGTCAAGTGTCTTCTGGATGTAAGAAGAGCACCTGATGAAAAAACATGTCCAAGGCAAAGACAGAGAACAGGTCCAGCCACTAGCAGAAACAAGGAAAATACAGCTAGAGGGCAGTGTTTCAGCTAATGGATTTTTAGCATCTCATTTTCAGTTGTTTGCTTTTTTGGAAAGGCTCTTGATTTTGAAAACAACCTTGGGTTGACGTTTGCGGTGTAAGAAAATATCAATACATTGATATTATATGGATATTCTATAGCATTTTATCAGTTTTTATAATGATTAATACACAAATTTTACAAATGTAGATTTCTCTGTTCCAATATTATTAACTTAACATCAAGATTTCTCTGTTCCAATATTATTAACTTGATGTTAAGTGTGTAACAGCACTGTGTGTTTACTGTGCTGATAGTTAAATTAAATAACCTCTCTATCGTATGGCCAGATTGATGTGTGTCAATGCTTTGGTCAATTGTGGCCCACATCTGATCAACAGAGAGGACGTCACTTGTCACGATGGTTAAATGTTCAGTGTGACATCAAGGCTTCAAGCTGCTGTCTGAGAGTGCAGTTTATCACCCAGCCGTGCACTCACTTGAACAGCTGTCAAGCTGCTGTGGTTATGTCATCAACTATTAGTCTGACTTTACGTGGCACACTTGTGCTGTATGACCAGGCAATTATATTTTTCAAGTCAGAAATAACTAAAATTAATAGATTCTGGTAACTGGCATTTCTTTATCAAAAAGTCAAAAGCTATCAATCTAGTTCACTTTGACTAAAAACATTTTTGAACATATTTGTAAAAAATTGAAGATTTAGACTAGTATTAAACAATTGGTTTAAAGGAAATATATGTGATACCTAGTGTATATTTTTAAATACTGGTATTATGGTCTGATCACACTGACCATCATACAGACCAACAGAAGGCTGAAAAAACAAACAAATCGGAACTTTAGTTTTCTTCATTTAGTCATGGTGCAGAGTCTGTTCTGTTCATGTGGACTCACCAGCTGTTGGACTGAGAGTGTGAGCAGAGAGCAGAAGGCAGCAGAGGGTGAAAGGTCCTGTCATCCTGATGGATTCTGCTGCTCACATCTTCATCCCAGCACAGGACAACGGCGACGACGACAACACCAACAGCAGGCGCAGCATCAGCAGTGTTTCATCAACCATCATCAATGCTGACACTGCCTCACTCAGCTGCTCTGGTGATAGGATTATAGCAGCTGGTGCTCTCTCTCTCTATTTACTGCTCTCTCCCTCTCTCGCTAACTCTCTTTCACAGTCGCTCTCCCTCTGTCTTTTCCTTTTTTAAATGTGATCATTTTCCATCCTCCTACTTGCCAAATATACTGTATATTTACATACTTCAAATTCTCTTTGCTATCTTTTTCTTTTTATTTGTTTTTTTAACATTAAACATGACCATGCTTCTGTTCATTTTGAAAAGAAAAACCCACTATGTTTATTATTCTACATATGAGTAAACAAAATGTTCAACTTTTTAACTATTTGCTGTGTTAAATAAAAACCAACAACAAATATTAATTACTTTTCGTACTCGGTTATAGAATCTGAAAGAGCTGATACTGTAATATCTTGATATAAACATAAACATAATACTGCAAACACTAATAATTGAAACACGTGACTAAATGTAGCCTCACAGTCTGTGGTCACTGACTGAGGGTCAAAGGGAGCTGCCACACCATCAGTGTGTTTTCAATGGAGTCTGGATTAGTGGGTTCAGAGTGCGTCCCTCCGACCCTGCGATAACCTCTGCCCCCAGAGAAGATGGCTGTGGAGGTGACTCTGTTCTGTCTGACTTCTCCCTCTTGTCCCCCCTTCACAGATCGCCCCCTCACCCACACACCGGGGTCTTCACACACTTCGTAGATGGAGCTGTCCTCCTGGTTGTGTTGCTGTGCCACAGGTGGAGCCGCTCTGGTGGAGAAGTCCTGTTCTGCTGCTGCCGTCAGCAGCTTCCCAGGCAGTTGGCAGGTGGAGAGGAGACTGTACTGCAGCAGGAGCTGCCCGGGCTTCTGCTCTTTGAGGGGAGAATCTTCTGATTCCTTGGAGTAAACATTTTTCTTCAAACTCAGTTCTCCCCCATCTCCTTCCACACGACCTGTAACTTCCCCTCCATCCTTCTCTTCTCTGTTCACAGCTTCCTTACGACCGTCTAGGGTGGAGTCCAGTCTGTTGAGGTCAGAGATGAGTGAACTGGAGGCTGAGACCAGGAAGTCCACCGGACCACAGTGAGCATTCAGAGACATCATTCCTTTACCTGAAAAAGACAGCGGTTTTAAATATGCTATTAACAAAAGTCACAATAGAAATTTAAACCTGTTCATTTCTCCACTGTCGCTGAAGACTGTATAAAAGTCATCACCTAGGTAGTCACTGCTCTCACAGTAGATCCATGAAGAAAATGAACCCTGTATATGACTCTCTCAGTTTTATTGAACTAACACCAAGAAATGTCAAGTTTTAAAATGAATCCAAATCAATAACATCAAATGACACAAAGTTCAGGAAGAGGAAATAAAAGTGCAGTTATCACATTATTACATGAACCTTGAAACCTTTCAGGTCTCCATTTCCCACCAGTGGGGCCAGCCCCACATTTTGAGAAACACTGCCTAAGCAAACATTATGTCTCAGCTTCTGTCTCAGACAGTTTTGTGTTGTAGCACTTCACCTCTGATCTTAGGGATTCCCTCCAGTGTGGACACAGGGAAGGTGATGATGTCACCTTCACTGGTACCAACCCACAGCAGACCACTGCAGATCAGCAAACTGGAGACATAAACTTGATCTGAAACACAACGTTTGGTACAATGGTTAGAAACCATATTTTACAATAACCCAGATTTCTGGCACTCATCCGACTGATGACTGACTAATGTTTTGGTTAGGATACCAGAGGTAGGGTGGACGATGTGTGTGTAAATGTTGACTTCTTGCAGCAGTTCCAAAGTCTCTCTGTGGAACAGGTGGATGGATGAGCTCTGGGTGAAGCCCATCCAAACTCCTCCACCTAATCCAACCATGTTGCTGACACTGCAGCTGGGATCAGTGTGGGCATTGAAACACTGATTAGACAAGACAAGAAAAAAAAAATGTGTTAGCTACAAGCTACAATAATTATTAAAATAAAAAATATTTATAAAAATAAATAAATAAAATTAGTGATTAAACCCAAACATATTTATTTTATTTTGGAGCATTTACATTTTTATGTTTCCACATTTAGTACATAAATTAATTGGTGGTTAAATGCATACCTGTATGTGCAGACTGGAACAGTGGATTACAGTGACTTGGTTAGCACAGCTGGCCCACACAGTATTTTTTAGGGACAGCAGACTGGAGACTGGAGCAGAGCCCAGAGACATGAGTCTGTGCGGCTCCAGGTCCCAGAGTCCTTGTGAACGGAACACTAGTTAAATTCATGTTGACCTTAGTCCTGAGTCTTAAACCTTGACTCAAACACTACATTCACTTTGATACTTTATGTATTTTGTACTGTTACTTTAAACTCACCTCCAGGTTTTCTCTGGTACACAGCTACATTCCCATTAAACAATCCAGCAAATAGCAGAGAGTGCAGATGTTTAAGGCTGATGACTGGAGAACTGTCAGGGTTCACCAAGGTTTGTTGGCATTCAACAGATGTGTCCAGGCTGCTGTACACTTTGATGCTGGCACAAAGAAGAGGAAGATTTCAATGAAAAG